GCATCTTTATTCGCATGGTAACCGATGCAGAGGCGTATGGCATGTTGCAATCGATTGAACCCGTGCAATTTCCGTAGATTATTCACCACCTGATCTGTAAGCCCATCAAACGGGGTAGGACCACTGGCATTATGACCACTGGCATTATGACCAGTGGCATTAGGACCAGTGGCATTACCAATGCTAAGCTTGAACTTGGACAAAATGCCCCCTGGACTTGAATAATCCTCTCCAGATAAGGCGAGTTTGAACCAAGGGTGCTGCAGAGCTTCTTTAGCACTTATACGGTTTTGTGGTGGGTATATGAGCATTCTAGTGATCAGATCCTTAACCTCTGGCGAGGCTGCCTTCCAGATGTTCCCTTGCATAGTAAATTTCCGTTCCCGAACCTTCCTCAAAATCGTTCGATCATCAGGACCCCAAAATGGTGCTTGACCACAAATCAGTATATACAATATAACACCTAAAGACCACACATCACATCTAGGTCCGTAATTCTTTTCCAATACCTCCGGAGCAATGTAATAGGGTGTCCCAACCTGTTCAATCATTGTCGAGGATGAATTCCACTTGGTGCTCAAGCCGAAGTCTATGATTTTCAAATTGTTAATATCATTCTTATTCTTGAGCAGAACGTTTTCAGGCTTCATATCCCGATGGACGATGCCCATCTGATGAAGGTAAGCAATGCCTGATAGTAATTGTTTAATCATAATTGCCGCATTTTTTTCTCGAGAATATTTGTTGGCATTCTCGTAGAACTTTGGTGACGTAATGTAATCAAATAATTCGCCTCCTTCACAAAGTTCTTGCACCAAAAATACCTGTTTATGATCTTCATAATATCCGTAAAATTTTATTATGTTTGGGTGGTCACATTTTTTCAACAACATGATTTCCTGTTGCAACTGTTCCAATTCGTTGCGATCCAAAGAACCCTTACTAAGACATTTGCAGGCGTAAATTTCACGATCACCTCCACCAGCTAAATCCCCAGCGCTACCACCCGCAGAAGTCAGCGCTGATCCGGATCCCAATGATGACGGATTGCGCATCTCGATCGCCAAAACGGTACCATAAGCACCCGTACCCATAGTCTTAATACCCTTGAACTTATTGCCAATGCGACCTTCTTGACTACGGGCAAATATGCCCGTGTCAATCGGAGTACGATCAAATGACTGCTTCTCATCCGCTTGTATTATCTTATATATCCCAATACCCAGATCCAATGAATCCATCGGCTTCGGATCATGCGCATTCTTCTTCATCGACGATTTACACAAACAACCTCCAGGCATGCATGCGATAAATACCTTGCAGCACCCGCTTCCATCTTGGTCATTCCTAACCTTGGCTAGGTCATTACTAACCTTGGTCATTACTAACCTCGGCTTGGTCATTACTAACCTTGGCTTGGTCATTACTAACCTTGGCTTGGTCATTACTAACCTTGGCTTGGTCATTACTAACCTTGGTCATTACTAACCTTGGTCATTACTAACCTTGGTGCACCCTCATAAGCCGTGCGTAACATCAAGTAAGCAACACCACTGGCTACTACTGACACCCAGTAATTATCTATGCGGCTCGTGTAGCTCTCGGCCAGACCTGCACCTATGCCAGTGACCAAGCTGATTCCAAACAACCGACTCCCGTCCAGGGCCACCGTCGTCGTCACGGTTTCCGCCCTAGTATGGTCGGCCGTCGCAGGCAACAATACCCGGTAGCTGAATTGTACTAAGAACCACAGGGACAACGTGTGACTCAGGACAAAAGATAAGAATCCCTCCACCGACTTGTTTCTGGTCCCTGGCATCCTGTGGGTCTTCCTACGACACGGACGGACCCGACTACGCAACTCTTTTTTACTGCAGATAGCAACGCAGTCAGTTGCACAGTCAGTTGCACAGTCAGTTGCATAGTCGGTTGTGGAGAAGAAGCAGTTTGGCACAAGAGCGGAACAGCTGTCGCCTACGCATGTAGCAACGCATCCTGCTAAAGCAATGATATAATACGTTATAATTTCACCAGCAATAGATTGACCAGCGGTGAAGGTATTGGAGTAGAAGATAGTGATGGGTATTTGGCAGCCGAGAGCCAAGAAGAGTGGCGTAACGATGATGGATTCCATGTCTCGTTCGTCGGCTACGGAGGGTAGGAATTGATCCATGGCGGCTCGTAGATTAGCGACGTTGTAGAGTCTTAAGACTTCTTCGACCAAGTAGCAGAAAATGAAGGCGGTCCATCCGATGACAACAGCTTCGGAATCGAGTATGAGCATGGGGAATGAGGCGAAGAGCGCGACCAGGTGGAAGTACTTACGACCAAGGATCACTCGGGTCGAGTTCACGGGACCCGCAGTTAGGATGCATCGGAACCCTATGAACGAGCTCAGAATACCTACACCAGCCATGGTCAAGAATGCACCCAAATGTAAGTACAGGAAACTTATTGCATAGTCAATCACAGCGTACAAACCACCCATCGAACGAATCATGGACCAAACCACCATCCCGGCACCTAACGAACCCGCCAGGGAAACACACCAACCAGGATACCATGCCGCGTACTCTCGACACCGAAACAACAACCCTAGACTTAACAATGCAACAAGGTGCGGGGCTGCCGCGCTTACCACGGGATGCTCGACCGTAGACATCGCCCCCAAAATCCGCACCAGGAACTCCGCATCCTTGTTCGAGAAATATCTAACCGCACAATGTCTCGGATAGCGGCAAGGGGGGGGGGGGGGATATCAGGGACAGGGAAGATATCGGGGACAGGAAGATATCGGGGACAGGGAAGCTGCCTACTCGTAGTCCCGCGACAAGTTGATCCAGCGACACAGCACCAGAACGGAGAAGGACAGAAGATCCGGCGCAAGCGCGAAGTGCAGCAAAGGGTTTATGGCGCCTGCGTCTCGGGACAAGACCGCCACGGCGACGCTGGACCACATTTTTTCCCGCTTAAATCGATGGCGAATCTTTGGTCGTTGGTCGTACGAAGGTCAGTGAGGGAACAGCGCTCTTTCATTGGCAAAATCAGGCAACTCCGTCGCGTCTATGTGCCCCCCCCCGTGGGGGTGGTTCATTCACCCCTTCTCAGGAGTTGGCGCAAGTTCTACAACGCGTTGGGACGGCCAGTGGCCCGTTGGCGTCAGTGAGTGGTGTGAAGCTCTGGCCATGCGCGATCTCACCCGTATCTACTGGGAGTGAACACCCAGGCGTATGGGGAGCCGTGTCAGAACAGAACACACTGTGCCCCACATGCCGGTACCCAACCAGCCAGTGTGACAGTTGGTGTGCAACGTCGGACGAGTCGCCCGACGAACCGTGCAGGTCGAGGCGACCGTGTTACCACCCGGTCGCCGCAGCCTGCATGGTTCGTCTGGCGACCTGGCCGAGTTGACGCTGAGTACACAAGGTATGAGTACACAAGACAAGGTATACCGACCAGGCAGGCAGGCAGGCAGGCAGGCAGGCAACCAGGCAGCAAGGCAGCAGGCAACCAGGGTTGCAGAGGACTGTCCCAATGGTCGCTGGACCAACGAGCGATCACGGATGTTGGGACCACCGCGTCTTGCGACCATCGGGGTGACGCCCCGGTGATTTGGGACTCAAATTATTGGTCTCGGTGTGAGGATAATTTCTCGAAAAATATTAATGCGTGAGGGGGTCGGATTTTTTTGGGTGCTAAAATTCGAGTCAATATTCCGTGAGGATGAAGGCGGTGAATGTAAGGCCCCAAGATAAGTCTCTATTGCTGGCTATGGGTGAGGTTGTGGCAGGAGGTAGTATAAATCAAGGAGGAGGGTATGGAATTGCGGCCTATGGTCAGGGTTACGGTCAGCCCGTGGATGCATATAACGGCGGTCAATTTTATCGCGGTGGTTATGGGTGTGTTCGCTGGGTCGTATCCTGCGGCTGGGTCGTTTCCGGTAGCTCAATCCGTGCAGCAGTATGGTTCTGGTCTGCTGGCGAATGTTTCTGGTTTCCATAGGAATGGAATAAGAAGACCTGCGGCTGGTCGGAGAACGGAGTTGGGCAAGAGGGTAGTGAAGAAGCACAGTGGTGTGTTTCCGGGGCCTACGAACCTGGAGCAAGTTGAGGGGCGAGTGCAGATTACTCCGGCGAGCGATCGGCAACTGGACTGGTTGCAGCACGCGATCGAAGAGTTACAGGATACGCGTTTGATTCAGAAGCGTGTCGTGGCGACGGATATAATGCGTAGTTTTGTCGCCAGCTTCTCGGAGATAAATCGATTAATGCAGACTCGTTTGCCAGAGGATTTCAAGAAGTTGCGCAAAATTTATAAAGTTATACCCACTCCCGAGGAGCTGAGGGCGAAGCGGAGCCGCCTTGCGCGCTTGAGGGAGGAAGACGTGCCTGGCGGGCTCGAGCAGATCATGTATGAGGTGGATGAAAATAGCTGCAAACGCGTGTGGCAGATATTTGTAGAATTAGCTGGCAAACACTACAGGCGAAATGCCGGTGCGGCAACGGGCGAGGGTGCTTCGGTAGCAGCGGAGGAAGGTTTGAAGTTATTGACAGGGGACGCGAAGGTGTTGATTGACGAGATCCGTCAGATTTCTGGGCCGCATTATTTGAACCGTACTTTGTACGCGAACGAGAAGCATTTCTCGGGTGCCGATTTCAAGGACCCGCCGGCCGCTGACGACGACGCAGAGGAAGAGGCAGCGGAGCGCGTGAGGGACCGCGTTTTCAGTGCTGTTCCTAACCAAGGTACTCCACCCTCTCTACGACGTCTCGTTGGAGCACCGGTACAAGACGCTCTTAGGGATGTCCAGAGACTACCCCGACATACACTAAGTGCACAGCATATCAAACACTTGCGAGCCAGCCCTCTCTTCGCCAGACTAGAAACCTTCCGCCAAATGGAACGGGCACTCGCCCCCGTCACACAGGCCCTATGCGATGCCATGCAGGAACTATTCTCCCTCACCCGTTCGCAAGATACCGTCGCCGGCGGCGTCTCCGCCGATGTTATCGAATGGTGGGTAGGTAACTTTGCTTGGCAACAAACATTCGCTTTCCAAAACCGACTTCGCGTAGGCAGACTCATTTCAGCCAGACCTTACAGCACCTACGAGTCCGCACCCACCAGCCGCTATCGACCCAAAGGCAGGATCCCCAAGAGCGGAATCATGCGGTCACCCACTTACCGCATACTCGGCAACGTCGAAAAGGTCAAGGGAGAAAGCATATACGACGAATACGGCGGATACGGCGGATACGGCGGATACTTCTAACCCATGTAGCACCCGTTTTAGACGGCCGCCACAAAGCAATCGTTTTAGGTAGCAGTTTTAGGTATCGACCTATATACAACAATCTGTGCTTAAAAGCAACATGATTGCATTCCTTTTGTAGCAGGCGGGAGGGAGGGAGGGACTCTTGTTCGGCATCCAAACATGTGTGCCAGCGTACTAACAAGTTCTTACAAGAACTGATGGTCCTGAAGTGGGGCTTACTTGGGCAGCTACTGGTTCTGGTTAGCCATTGGTCCTGGTTAGCCATTCGTCCTGGCTGGCTTTTGGTCCTGGCTGGCTGTTGTTGGTCTTGCATGTCCGTCGTAAGCGGTCTAACTGCATTTGGCGCACACACTGT